ACTGTGTCAATCCATCTCATTGAGGGCCTTCCCCTTTTTCGTTGACCCCCCACTTTACCCAGCATGATGGCCTTCTCCAGGGGCTGGTCTCTCCTGGTGACTTGCCACGGCACAGGTGTACCTCGCACACACTGCCACCTTGGTTCCAGATCCCAGCACTAAGGTGACTACAGCAATAAAGTGAGTCACACGAGTTGTTTGGTTTCCCGGTGCCCAGAAAAGTTACGTTTACACTAGACTGTAGCGTATGGAGTGGGCAGTGTTGGTTCCGACTCATAGCGACCCTATGCACAGCAGAACGAAACCCTGCCCAGTAAGTGTGAATAAGCAGCATTATAAAAAAGTATGAAATATTGTGAGAATTACCAAAATGTGACAGACACATGAAGTGAGCATGTGCTGTTGGGAAAATGCTTCCAATAAACTTGTTTGCCCCAGGGTTGACACAAATCTTCAATTTGTGAGGAAAAAAAAAACAACATAGTATCTGTGAAGGGCAATAAGACGAGGTGTGCCTGTGTGAGAGATGACGCCCCTCCAGCCTTGCTTCCAAGGAGCCTCACTTTGTCCAGGACAGATTTCCTCATTCTTCCGGCCATTGGTGGTGTGTTCAGTGTTCTTCACCATCATCCAGAGACATCAGTTCTTCTTCAGTCTTCCTTCCTCATTCACTGTCCAGCTTGCGCATGTGTAGGAGGCGACTGAAAATATCACAGCTGGCGTCAGGTGCTTCACAGTCCTCAAAGGGGCACCTTTGCTCTTTAACACCTCAGAGAGGTCTTTTGGGCAAATCTGCCCAGTGCAGTACCATCTTTGATTCCTTGGCCGCTGCTGCCATGGGAGAGCTCTCGTGGTCCTTTAGGTGGCTAATCAAAAGATCGTTGGTTCAAACCCATCAGCCGCTCAGTGGGAGTAGATGAGGCAGTCTGCTTCCATGGAGACTTATAGCTTTGGAAACCCTATAGTCAGTTCTCCTCAGTCGATATGAGTTGGAATCGACTCTGTGGCAGTGGGTTGGGTTGGGGTTTTGGTTTCCATGGGCATTGATTATGGATCCAAGTCAAATGAAACCTTTGATGAATGAATGTTTTCTAAATTTACCACAATGTTGCAGATTTTCCTTTTCTTTCTGTGGAGCTGTAATCCATACTGAAGGCTGTAGTCTTTGATCTTCATGAGTAAGTGCTTCAAATCTTTACTTCCAGGAAACAAGGTTGTGTTGTCTGCCCATGGCGGGCTGTTAATGAGTCTCCCTCCAACCCTGACAGGATAACACGCTGGCTTGTTACGAGGCCTGGTTTTTAACTGTTACAGCCCCCGTCCAGAGCTCCTCGCTCTGCCCTCCTGACAACACCTCTCCCCTCTGAGCCTTCCCCTGTGCACGTCCCTCTGTCTGAATGCCCTTGGCCCATTTGTCCTCTGGCAGGCTCCTCTTCATCCTTCAAAACCCGGCTCAGAAGATGCGTCCTGTGAAGCTCCCACACAGGCCGTGCCTGTCTGCTGGGGCTCCGAGATGCTACACTCTCATTTTTACTGTCTTTCCTGTCTTTCAGCCACCGAACCACCCACGCCCGAGGGCCGGGCTCATCTCGCTACACAGCTCTCTGTCCTGTTTTTTTCTAGGCATGTGGAGAAGACCAGAGCCTTGGTGCCAGTCACAGCCATCCACACACGTGGCTAACACCCGTCACTTTCCTCTCTCTCCCCTCAGCCTCAAAGACAAAAACAGAGGTGAACTCATCCCCCCTGTGCTACAGCTCACAGTGACGTACCTGAGGGAGAACGGTAAGCGCCTGGGTCTGCTGGGGGCGTGCCCCTCCTGGGAGTCCATCCCAACGCCCAGAGCCCAGGGCGTGGGAGGAGCTGGAACCTGTCCAGGGAGGGGCCCACGTGCTTGGTTCCCGGGGCTCCCGACTGGCTGTGGGTTTGAATCCTGGCTCCACCAGGTACTAGCTGTGCAACCTGGGGCCAGTTACTTCCCTTCTCTGGCCTCTTTTTCCTCACCTGTCCTTTGAGGTTGATGTCAGTTCCTGTTCTCTGGGGTTGTTGGGGCCTAAGTGAGGAAATGTGGGGAAAGCCCTCAGGCAGCGTTGGTCCCAGTTACCGTCCGTCGACGCTGACGCCCAGCCAGCTGTGTGTGTCAAAGTGGAAGTGCCCTGCACGTGGCTTTCAGCGGCTGGGTTTTCAGCGGTAGACGGCCAGGCCTTTGTTCAGGGGTGCCCTGGGTGGACTTGAACCACCTGGAGACCGACTGTGGCGCTGGGGGGAGTGGCAACAGTCTGGGTTTGGCGGGAGACCATTTTCCCGCTAAGGCCAGTGGAGCGTCCTGGGATGTCCTGGGAGCCTCTGTGGGGACCTGTGGGACACCTGGCGGCTCTTCTCCTTGCAGGACTCCGCACCGAGGGCCTGTTCCGGAGATCGGCCAACATCCAGACCGTCCGTGAGATCCAGAAGCTCTACAACCAAGGTGCGTCCATTCCCCAGAGAGCCCGACTTGAGGTCTCAGAGCCCCGCTGTTGGAGGCAGTGCAGGCCCAGAGAAAGTGCGAGCCGGGGGCAGCTTCCCACTGGCGACCGAGACGACCAGAGGGGAGGCCATTTGTCAGACGGTGGCCCACTGGGCATGGTGGCTGCACAGTGCTGTTCCAGTCACGGTGTCTTCCCTCAGGTGAGGTGGGCACCCGCTCTATCCACTCTCCCAAAGCTGGGGGACTTGTCTCGTGGTGTCTTCACTCACGGCTCCTCTCCAGTGGCCTCCTCACCTGCCCCAGTATCAGCCCACAGGCATGGAGAGCAGTGTCGGGGCTGAGGACATGTCCCACAGATGCTAACAACATGGCCACCTCGTTACAGCTTGATTTCCCCTCCACCCCACCCTCCCACACTGTTCATTCAACAGCACCCACAGGCCAGCATGGGGCTGGCCCAAGTCTGACCCAAAGGGGTCTGTGAAGGTCTTGGGTGGTCAGTCTGTCAGATGCAATATGAGAAAATGGGATTTGGGAAGGCCAGGAAACATTTAGTGCCCCATTGACACAGTGGCACAGCCAACCAAAAGAGCAATTTGAACTCACCAGCTTCTCCACAGGGGAAAAGATGAGGTGGTCTACTTCTGTAAAGACTGACAGCCTTGGAAACCCTGTAGGCAGTTCCACTCTGTCCTCTAGGGGCGCTGTGGGTCAGAATGGACTCCACGGCAGTGGGTGTGGTTTGGGCTTTGCTTCCCTGAAGACTGACAGCCTTGGAGACCCTGTGGGCAGTTCCACTCTGTCCTCTAGGGGCGCTGTGGGTCAGAATGGACTCCAGG